AAATTTTAGAATATTCCAAATAGTTGAAAATATAATATTTCTTAGTATAATATTCAATGTGACTGTTGATGTTTCGAAGCAGGTTAAAAACGAATTAGTTTAGTTTTAAGGTATATTTGTTAATAAATCATTTAGAGAAAGTTTTGTCATATTTGTTAATAATTTCTATGAAGCTTTATCTTTACTAGAGAACTCGAAGAAAATAAGTAATACGGAGAAAATTATAATTGAAAAGTAAAGAATTTCAATAATTGGAAAAGTACTAAGTATTATTATTATCAATCATATAAAATATATTGGTCTTGATTTGGAAAAATATATAGGTTCGAAATTGATGGCTGCAGCGTAATTGTGTCAAAACTTTGTGGAGCTATTAATCAAATAATTAATGTAGCATCAAATACCTGGAGATCCCCTTGTTATAATCACTCACCCATTAACCCATTAATTTTATATCACAATCTTTAGGTGTGAAAAGTATCAGAATTCTTATTGGATAAATTAAAGAAGTTATATTTTCTCTTTGTATCTACTAAAATAACATTTGTTATAAAAAATATAATGGAAATTAATTGATTGGTGTATGCAAAACGAGATGGATCAAGAAATACAAATCATTAATGAGTATTATGTAAATTATTCACTAAATTATTAGTTCAAAAATATTATCATGGAGAGACTTAAATACTCATGGAAAAGCTAAACCAAGCAATATTATTTTTTGACAGTGAAATTATCATTTTTCTTCGTAATCTCTCTCATATACTTAACTAAACATACTCTATCATTAAGCATTTTCAAAAACACTATCTTTATTTATACGAAGTAGCAATGAAAGATACACTACTTTTTTGTCCGAATAATTGAAAAATGTTACAATTATATTTAAAGAAATTTATAAATGATTAAATGATCCTATTTTTAATACAGAATAGTATTACGACAAGCTATATTTATTTCATTAACAGATAAATTATATAATTGCTTAAAATCACGTTTTTTTTAAACAACAGTCGTATGTTTTAATATTTCATAAATATTTTATGACAATTTTTTAAAAGAAAATACAAGTTTATATTATTTCAATTAATAATAAAATTTATTTAGCTCTTTCATTATTACGTAACGAGTTCAAATTATGGAAACAAAAATAGAATTGCAAAAAACTTGAAAACCTTTCTGTAACTTCTAGCTTTGTTATAAAAGTAATTACGAATTGTTATGATGGAATATTACTATTGCTTCACCGTTTTTTCACAATTTTTATAATATTGTCAATAACCAATGAAAGTGCTGAGAAGACGTTAATACATTAAGAAGACTCAAAACATAGCTCAAATCCATTATGTCAATAACAAAATTAACTTTATTTGCTTTTATAAATATTCACTGTTATTAATGTAATTTTTGACATAGTAATTTATAGAAGTTTTCAAAAAGAAAAAGAAAATCAGACTTTCTATTATAATTTTTGAAATGTAGCTTATTAATTTAATATCATAATCATGTTCATATCTTAGGAAGAACTATTGAATCAACTTTGATGTTTTGTTTGTTATTGAAAAGTTTATTTATAATGTGAACTGTAAATAAACATTTTTCATTACATTAATACATTAATTCAATAGTATTTTATATATTATGTATTCCTAACATAAAATAACCCCTTCACTCAATAAATACCCTAGATCAACGCCTGGCATTGTTTATAAATAATGTGTTGTCTAGGATAATATACATTAGTAGCGAAAAACTGTGTACAAGGTACAGTGTGAATTACTATGATAACATTATGACGTTGGTAAGAAATGTTTCCCATAAAAATGCAAAATAATTTAATAAAAGTATTATATTAAATATATAAATTATTATTCAGTATTATAACTAGTGATGTGCCACTAGGAATATTCTCCAAGGAATGTTTCCGGGAACAGAGAATATTCCTGGAACATTCCTCAGCATCTCAAGAAATTTCTTAAAAAAATAAAAAAAAATTGAGTGGAAAGAGAATATGACAGTCTATACTACTGTACGTCTGTACTCTGTACTAGAGTAACAATATTCATTAGTGTATTTTGTTCACATCAATTGGCTGAACTGCTTTGTTGACCAACATACTATTGATTATTGATAAGCAATATAGTAGATTATAATTGATTATAGAATTATCATCATTTCATTTTAGAATTTTCTATTTACATAGTTATTAGTTTTATGCATTTAATTTCTGTTATTATAGTACCTAGCAAGTTAAATTTTTAGTTTCACACTTCACAAACTTCTTAACATTATAATTATTTTTTTATTTTAATTTTATTGAAAATTGTTAAATAAAACATTACAGCTATAAGATTATAAATTATAAGATAAAAGATAAATTATTTTATTTACATGTAGTTTAAATTAGAAAGCCAGCACTGATAATAAAATTAGAAATCGAGTTTATCAAAATGGAGGACCGGGTGTTCAAAAGGAGTTTGGTATTAAGTCTGGGGTAACCGAATGTAGCAGTGAGCGAGATGAGAAGTCTATTAGAATGAAGGGAAGGGCAGTGAAACATTATAATTATAAAAGTATTAATTAAAGATATTGTTTTACTTTTATTTTAAAGTTATTTAAGCAAAGAGACTGAAGTCTAGTTATATTTTTATTTTATTCAGTACATGTATAAGTAAAATGTTATTTAGTAGTTATGTTTATTTTTAAAATCTATTTAAATACAAAGTAGTAGTTTGGATACTTTATTAATTGTTGTATTTTTTTTATCATAAGTTCATAATATTGTTATTATAAAAGTACTAATTAAGATTTAAGAGTACTGCATGTTTTTATTTTTATTAATAAAGATACTGAAGTACCTATAGTTATATATAAATAAATATTCTTCATTATATGTATAAATAAAAGTTCTTCAGTATTTAATTATGTTTATTTTTATTTTTTAACATATAAAAATAAAAGTTTGATCATTTATTTTGTGATCATTGTACAGATTTTAATTAAAAAATTAAATTATAGTTACTTAATAACTTTTTTAAAAGAATAAAAATCTAAACTGTAATAATATCAGTAAAAAACTGTAATTTGGATCATTTAAAACCATAAGTTTAATTTATAACTGAAACCTATGATTAATATTTAAAAACATATAATATTCCCGTGACATACCCGGTGTTGGGAATATTCCCGGGAATTTCACCAAGGAAATTCCCAAAAATATATTCTTGGGAATTTTCCTATCACTTGTTATAACTAAGTAGAACGTTTTCTTGTTATAGATTATTTTTTTCGGTTAAAACAATACAAATATTCGCTTTTTAAATGGTGTAAAATAAATTTTTTATACAAAAATAACTGATTCAACTATTGCATTTTTATTTTTTACGAAAATATACTAGAACTACATTGAAATGAAATGAAAAATCATACAACTATTTACTCAGACAGTTTTTCTGAACACAAAGACCCTTGTAGTACTTTTAACATAAATCCTAACTATCCAAGTTTTCTTAGAATTTTTTTTTGAATTATAATTCAATATTGTCCTTAAACTTTAAAATAATGACCGGGTAATATACTAGGTTTTTGTGATTTTATCGTTTCATCATAATTGAATATTCAAACGCTAGTACAAAATTTTTATGAAATCAAGCTCAATTTTTTTTTCTAATCAGCAATTATTATGTTTGAAAACTTAGTATTATATTTTCAAGACTTATTTCTTCTTACTTTTATTATTTAATGGAAATTTTCGAAAAAAGCCAAAAAAAAAAAAAAACTAAAAAAATTAAATTTTCTAAAAACAGCTAAAAAAAAAAAAAATTAAAAATTAAATAATCTGTATCTACATAGGCGCGAATAAGGTAGAGATTGGGGAGGGCCCACCTTATATGAATTTAGTCCTCTGGATTTATTATCGTTTTATATCATATAAATTGATTATTTTATATGATTGTGGTCTTTTAATTTAATTAAGCTTTTATCTTGCAACATTACAGTTATAAAATAATTAATAATTATAATATATTATATAATATAATTAATAATATTAATTTAATGATTATTTTGGATGATTTAAAGGTATGGGGACAAAACCTCAACTTATAATTTTTGTTTGAAAATTGTAGGGCTGAAGCACCCCCCCCCCCCCCCATTGAAATTCCTTATTTGCATCTATGTATATCGAACAATGATATAAACATTTAATGAAAATTTGAAGTCTCTTTGGTTATTACTTTTTGAGTTATGATGAATCAAAAAATTAATTTTATCGAAAACCGGTGCCTATCTAGTTTTATATAATTTTTAATTTTTAGAAATTATTAAGAAAACTATTGGGAAATTCGTCGATCCCCATTCATAGTATCTTGAATTTAAAATCGTATGTTGTCATTAGTAGTTATATTCGTATCTTTGTTTATATTTTTTCTTAATAAATACTCTTCAAATATTTTATATAGCTATAAAATAGTTAAATATTTTTTTTAAGAAATATCTGATATTTACATATGTAAAAATATCTAGTATTTATCGTTATTTTTGTATTTGTTAAATGAACATCAATAAAATTTAAAAGCAGAAAATACTTACCTACTAATGTAATGTATTTAACAATATCAACAAAGCCATGTGGTTGTATAAATGATAGATAAATAACGGTTGTACCTTCTCATAGGATACTTATTCATTTCATGTTTATATAGAATTAGGACGAATTAATGTTATGTATTTTTGGTCCAAACCTTTGCAATTGAGGAACTGTTAGGCTGTTGTTTTAGTAAACTAAAAAAAAACATTTTTTTTGTTGATTTACGCAATAGTTTGGTAAATTATTGTGCCTGGCAATTTATTTTTCACGGGAAATCTCGTTTCACTGTGGTCATAAACTTAAGTCACTCATCATTTATAATTATACGCTGTTGATAAGAACTGCAATGTGTCATGCATCGTCGTCTCTGATCGGTCGTAGATAGCATTTAACGTGAAAAGGAAACACTCACGTTTATATGTCGACCTGGATCATCCTCGACCAACTGTCTAGCGATGTCCTTACAAGATTTTCTCGACGGTATGGGTACTTTCCCGTCATCTTCCCAATATCGACTAGGCGAATGTGCGTATAGTGCTGAAGGCGTTGCGTGTGTGATTCTAGTATTGGTTACTACACCAGTCGATTTGCCTGGAACAATAACATTATTTTTTTAGTATAAAATTGAGTTGTTATAGTTTGAAGTTGAACGGCAGTCGGGAGATGATAACGGCTTCGAGACATGTATTATTTCAGATAAAAAAAAGCAATTTTTCTAAAACTTTATTTCAATTATTTATGTAGGTATGCATTAACGCACAAAACGCGTTTCAGTTTTGGTACATTTTAATTTACAGTCAGTCATGTAATATTTATAATTGCAGTATGGTAACTGGTGAACATTATCTCGAAGATTTTATCTCTGCCTCATTTATTTGTAAAATAAAAATTGTTCAAATATTTTTAAATACTAAATATTTACAACTTTGAATTTATGTGGTTAAATTAGTTTTTAAAATACTTAAATATGTAATTGGTATTGTTTTAGAATTTGTGTAAATTCTAATGAAAAAATGCATAAAATATTTTTATGCATTATATATAAAGTTATTTATATATTTAGTTTTTTATATTTAGTTATATTTAGTTTATTTAGTTATTTATTTATTATATAAAGTTTTGGGTTATATAATTCTGTATCTTATAGTGTTTTCTTCTTAGTTAGATTTTTTTAAATAATTTGAGAGTTATGTTTTAAATGTTTAAAAATACAAAAATAATTTAAATGAATAATAATTTAATTATGTATGTTGATAATGCCATTTTTCAACGTGTAACGATTGTAAGAATTTCGATTCTGGAATTGATATATGAAGAAGCGAAATGTTTGTTTATCAGGGCAAGGGTGTGGATATGAACTTTAATTTTTCAATGTTTCATTCGTAGCAGAAACGATAAATTGTCTCCATGAAGTTCAGTGAAGAGTGGGTGAAGTGCGTAATTTTAGTTTTTACTCGCCCATTGTTTCGGTTGTATCATTTTACGGAATTAATTTAGATTGAAAAGTAATATTGTATCAAATGAAAACCAAAAGTCGTTTAATTAAAATTTAAGCCTAGAAAAATACATCATAATATAATATGGGAGAACATAGCGACTATATATAGTCGGTTATGACTGTTTAATGTTAAGATATCTGAAAAAACTCGCACTCAACGAGAAAGTCAACTTATTGGTTTCTATGAAATCGTTACATATTAGGTTTTTTGGAAGTATAGAAACTGCTATATCTTTAAGGGGTAATTTAATAGGGACTTGTTTGATTTTGATCAGGTTATTGACGTAAATGGCAATGCCTCCACTTGCTCGGAGATTTGTTAGGTGATTTTTGAAAAAAACCTTTGAATTCGCATATTGGGAAGGTAGTGTTGGGTTTTAGGTTTGTTTTTCGGAAACAAAAAGTAATAGGTTTGATGGACGATTTGGCTCGATAGATGTCAGTGTAGTGTTTTAGTAGGTCATTAATATTCCATTGAATGATAGATTCCATGATAAAATTATTTTAAAGGTAATTGAGTAAGGGTTGATGCATTGTTGAATATGTGTTTGGTTTTTTTTTTTTTTTTTTGAGAGTTTTGTTTAGGGACATGTTTTATTGGGGTGGTAGTCCTTGGAAAATGAGATTCGATAACTTTGTTAGACGCGTTTTGAATGATCTGTCATTTGCTATTTTACGAATTTGGTTTAACAGGTCCATTAGTGATGGTATGTCGATTTTTACATCTTCAGTTAAAAAATAAATATTCAATGATTTATAAGTGAAATTATTGAGGATGTGTTTGAATTGAAGGAATGTAATGGGTAGGGACTCATTGTTCGTGAAAAACTCCATAACTGGTTTAAGTTCTTCATCAGGGTTTTTTTCTTGTCTATTTGCTGAATTAGAATGCGACCATACTTTGATTTTGTTTGTGACTTTTCCTTTGTCTGGAGTAGTTGTTGGTGAAGTTGAAATATTTAGTGAAACAGGGGGTTTCAGTAATGAAGAGTCAGAAAGAGGTCTTTTATATGTTTCGATTGGTAGAAAATTAAGAGTTTCGTCGAATGTGTTATGAGTTGGCGAAGGAAGTTCAATTTCTTTGGACCAATCCACAGTTGATTGATCTAGTTGTGCTCTACGTTAGGTGTTGTTGGAGGGGGGGGACTCCTACAATTTGTTTTATGGTGGTTTCTTCGGTTGTGTTTTTTTCACTTATGGTGAGTGGGTCATCGTTTTCCAATTTATTTTCAATGTTTTTAATGCAGTTGGATGTTGTGTGTCTGATGGATTTGCAGAGAAAGCAGGTAATTTTGTCATTGGTGAAGAATATTCTAAATTAATTTTCATTTATATTAATTAATAGCGAGCTCGGGAGCTTAGAAATATCTTCGTGGTTGAGGAAAATTTGACGGCGGAAACTCTTAATGTGTTCGTAACCTTCTACATTTATGCCAGCTTTGAGGTCGTTAATTTTGGATATGGGAGTTATACCCATATTTCTTAAAGTATCTACGATTGCTTGTTTTGTTATAGACGGGCATATGTTGGAAATAATGAATCTTTTTATTTATATAATCTGGTAATTAATGTTTATAGATTGAGTTGTTTGAATTAGGTTATCTAATATTTGTTAGCTGGATAGAAATATACAAAAACGGTTCTTCGATATTCTCGAGACAAATATTATGTTTTTGGGTTGGACTATTTTTCCATTGCTAATAAATATTCTTTTTGAGGTATACCGTTTATAAAAATTATTGTCTGTCCTCGGCTCGGGTCTTTTCCGTAGCGGCGGCGAATGCAAAGTTTATGTTGTTATCTGTATTATTTAATGTGGGTGTTGTTGAGTGTGATATTTGTGAATGGGAAATGGTAGAGGCAGTGATGTAAATTGTATAATATTGTATTATACAGGCGTATTATACGTCGTGTATAAAAAAGTAAAATACAAATGGTATATAAAAAAAAAAAATCAGTGATAATTGATAAATGGTAGAAAACAATAATAAAACGATGGAGCATGGCCACACAAGTAACATGGTTATTGGTAGGTGGTTGCCGGTTGGCATCGATCATAGAAAAGAAATTATAAAGAATAAGCATCATTGTCCATTATAAAGAACTATTCTAGCCATAGACGATAAACCTATTAACTTGTTCCATGATTCTAGTCGAAATATTTGTAAATCATAGTGATACGTGCGATAAGTGCTAAATCATAAACTCAAGCCATAAGTCATAATCGTAGACAGTAGACCGCATATAATATTACACTAAATTCTATTAATTATATTTAATTATCTACAGACTATAAGTTACAATTAATTGAAGTTCCTAAACGTTAGTTACTATTTTTTTTTACTATGGGTCGACCCTAGGTCTTGATGTACTCGGCCATTCCATTGTTGTCTCGGTCAGACGAGGGGTCTTTTTTTGTTTGGTTTCTGTTGTATCCTACTTATAGGAATAAACAATATGAATTCTTATGATAATAAAGACGTATATTTATCATGAAACCATAACGTCGACTGGCTAGTCATGTCGATCGGCGTTGTACGCATTGGATAGTTCCCACCGCGTACGTTATAATCATATCTGTTAATAAAGTAGTATATCGGTGTCGATATACAACAGTTTATTGAAGTTATTTTATTTAATATTTTTCCTTCAGCACGCCAGACATGTTCTGCTCATCCGATTCCTTTGCTCTTCATTACTGCTACTATGTCCGGTTGGTTGTATAGTTCGTATAGATCATCACTAGTTCTACGTTGTAGAACTTTACTATGTAAAGGTCACACCACTACCGACATCTAGTTAATTATAATAATAATAATAACCGACACCAGTTTCAACGACGTCGACCGACTAAGGCGATCGCCGTACAAAGGTCAACACGGACCAACGCTGCACACAACGCTATCCGAATCACCGAAAGATGGCGCAATCGGACCAAGCCATCACAACAGCCACCGAATACCAAGTTTACGGACGTATCAAAAACGTATCCGTCAAACGTTAAGTCCCTTAGACATAACGTTCACATCAACTTACATCGCACACCAACCATTGTACACGAAATCATAAGGTAAACCAGATAAATAAGTAAAGGCGTGCTCAATGAACAGCGGTGCTGTATCGGTACGGATAACACGAACATACAGATAATAGCGCCGCTGTTCACCGTTCAGCATCAGCATCGTCTTCCGACTACCACGGAAACAACTCATTGGTCACTGCTTTCACCCGTGAAAACACTTTGTACTAACATCCGCTTCTGGCACCATATTCTGAAGTTTAGTAGATGTTAGTGCATAGCGTGGAATAACGACTGTAGCATACCACGCCGTCCGCCGACCACCCACCGTACGTACCCTTATTTGCCGTCTACGCCGATCACTATTTAGCCGTCCGCGCCGAACGACAGCAGTACATTAACAACATACCGCAACCAGTCATATACCAGTCGTGTATCACGGGACAATCGCACACACCATCTCGTGGATATTAGAACTGACCAGTATATTGCTATATATTTCTAGATCTAATTATCTGATATAAAATTATAAATATATGTATTTTTTTTTTATGTACAATACATTTTTTTCTTGTAAACTATTTGTTTAGTTAATGTATAATAAAACTAGCTAAGGAATTTCAACAAAAAAGCACACAGCGTTGAGTTCTTTACAGTTGGTTGTATAGTTCGTATAGGTCATCATTAGTTCTACGTTCAAATTCATTGGTTTCCTCATTATTTTTAGGGCCAAATATTTGTCTTAGTACTTTCCTTTCGAATTTTGCTAGCTTTTTTTAATCTGTTTTTGTTGAGGGCCATACCTCGCATGCGTGCAAAGCAATAGGACTGAAAAGTACTTTATACATTGTTATTTTCTACTTTTTTTGAGAGGATTCAAGATTTAAAGAGTGGTCTTAGCATTCCAAAACATCTATTAGCTAGTTATTCTTCTTTGTATTTCATTGTGTCCATAATTGGTTGTGTCTAGTACTACTCCAAGGTATTTAAAAGTTTCTACTCTTTAAAATCTCATTTGTCCTAATACTAATTCTATTTGGTTGTAAATTCTGCGTGATAATATCATGTATTTTA